TTTCTGATTTCGCGACCTTACGTAAAATCTGTAGATTCCGCTTAGGAAAGTTGATTTAGCTCATGTAGTATTACTTTCTCTGTCTCCTGCCCCCAGGTTTGTATTATTTCTGCTTTGGATCTGAGCTCTGTTGATTCTGGACAACATAAGTTCCCCCTCAGAGTGGTTTCTTTCCCTGGTGTTTGGGTGGGTAAAGTAGAGGGCACATGACAGGGAGAGAGCACAAGGTCCCCAGTTGCAGACTTAATAGCACAGATCTGTGTACACCTTTGTGAGAAGCACACATGTACACACACAGTGAGTGGCGCACACACACGTGCACACACAGTGGCATGCACACGTGAGGCACACGCACACTGACACACTGCATCCAGTGCAGAGTGCTTCACTCATGCGCAGTCCCAGCCGTGTGAAGCCTCCTGCAGGCTTTGTGTGGCAGAAGCTCCAAAGACACTGTTTTCATGACTTTCAGCCAAGTTCAAAAAACCTGTTATCCTGGGGGGCGTCAGGCTGCCAGCATCCTCCTGTGCCTGCTGCCCTGCTTTCTTGCGGAGCCATCCGCTGGTCAGCCATCATACAAAGAGGAGTGGGGATGCTGAGACTGGGCAGCCTGCCCAGGGGTCACTGCCGTGAGCAGCTTTCAGGGCTGGGAATAGACGGGGACAGGAGGTTTGGGTGTGTCTGTGTCTTGTTGAAGGTCCTCTGAGGGCAGAAGCTGGTGTGTTCCCAGCACCTGGGGCAGTGCTGGGTGGGGGAGCCGCCTCATAGGCACTTGATTTTCCTGTTCTGACCACCTGTCCATCTGGAGTTTTCTAGGGCAGGACTGGCTCAAAGGAGTGTTTGTTCAATTCAGGAAACATTCAGCCTTATTTGTTAGCAAATGTGTGGTAAAAGACAAACGATGTTCTGGAGGAGGGAGCTTGTCTTGTGGGGGAGGCAAGATCAGTTTTGGAAGCAGCAGTGGTTGCGTTAGGCCCCGTGACTGCGTAGGGCAGGGGTGAACTCCTTGTCCTCTGATCTGTGCGCACCAGGCCTGGCGGGGCCGCTTGTGCCGTGTTCTGATATGGATGGGTTGCTGCGGAGGCCTTTTACTTCAGCCAGAGATCCTTAAACCAAAGACTCACTTGAGAAGGTTTTTTAAATAGTCAGATTTATTGTTGCTTTAAAAAAGTGACTTAGGGCCAGGTGCAGTGGCTCACACCTGTAATCCCATCACTTTAGGAGGCCGAGGTGAGAGAACTGCTTGAGCTCAGGAGTTCGAGACCAGCCCAAATACCACAGTGAGAACTTGTCTCTGTTTTTTCTTTTTTCTTTTTTTTCTTTTTTGGGACTGAATCTTGCTGTGTCACCTCGGCTCACTGCAACTTCTGCCTCCCAGGTTCAAGTGATTCTCCTGCCTCAGCCTCCCAAGTAGCTGGGACTACAGGCATCTGCCACCACACCTGGCTAATTCTTTGTATTTTTAGTAGAGAACGGGGTCCACCACGTTGGCCGGCTGGTCTCAGCCTGACCTTCGCGTCCCCTGCCTCGGAGTGGCCTCCGCTCCTGGCTATATTTTTAATTATTTAATTTCTTTTATTTATTTATTTATTTTTTTAATTTTTTTTATTTTTTATTTCTTGAGTACAGAGTCTGGCTCTGTTGCCCGGGCTGGAGTGCAGTGGCCGGATCTCAGCTCACTGGCAGCTCCGCCCCGGGTTTACACCATCCGGGTCGTCGCTGCCAGCTCGCCGAGTAGCTGGGACTACAGGCGCCCGCCCGCCTCGCCCGGCTAGTTTTTGTATTTTTTTAGTAGAGACGGGGTTTCACCGTGTTCTACCAGGATGGTCTCGATCCTCCTGAGCCTCGTTGATCCGCCCGTCTGGCCTCCCAAAGTGCTTGGGCATTACAGGCCTTGAGCCACGCGCCCGGCCTTTTAATTGTTTTAAAAAAATAAAAAAATAAGTATGAAAAGTGACTTAAATGTACACAAACTTGTTTTTGCACACAACTCACCTTACCCTGTGTGATGAATAATTGTATTTTGACAGTGCTTGTTAAACGTGTGTCCCTATTAAGATCACTTTGTACTCTTTAAGCCTTAGTTTTCACGGCTGGTCCAGGTAGAGTTTAACTACACGTGGTCTCGTCTCTCTCCCATGCCTGGCTTGTGACGTACATGCAAGTATTTGTTGAGCAAGGGCCATTTAGCAATAGATTTAGCATGTACTGGAAGTTTGATTGTCGCATGTCTAATGTGCATTTTCCCTCTTTTGTACAATGGAGAATTCCCAAATTTCATGGGTGTGAGCTGAGAAAAGACTTTAAGCTATTATTCCTCTGCTGTTCCACTACAACACAGAAGACTTCTGTGACCCCAAAATATGTGGGGATTTCTCCCCATCAGCAAACAAGCAATCCGTTCTGCAGTGGGCACCAGCTGGGTGTCCTCCAACTCGATTCTGACACCGTCTACCTGGAGGTAGTGTCAGACCCCACAGGGCAGCCCCAGGACTGCCTCCTACTTCTCATGTTAGCCTCAAGCCTCAGGTTGTGACCTGCGCTCCTGCACGACAGACTGTGAATGGACATCTCATGACCCCCTCTTTGGATTCAATTAGTTTGCTAGAGTGGCTCACAGAACTCAGGGAAACACGTTTATTTGATCATAAAGGCTAGTATGAAGGGTGCAGGTGAAGTGATGCGTAGGGCGTGGTACTGGGGCATGGCTGCTCCATGTCCCTCCAGGGATCCCCGTGTGTTCAGTTATCTGGACGCTCCCCAAACCCTGTCCGCCTGGGCCTTTTGTGGAGACTTCATTGGATAGGCATGATTGACAGCAGTGTACAAATGGGACTGGACCAAAAGGGTGTGATCTAAACCCAGCAGAGCCTGTCTGTGCAGATTCTTCCTGGCCTCTCTGTGTAGCATTCCTCCCCCGGGGTGTGGGGCAGGGCCCCTTGAGAAATGGGGGTCTTGTGACCCACAGTCAGACAAGATAGGTCAGAGAATTTATTTGTGGCCAGCTCCAAGACAGAAAGGTGGGGGGTATTAGAGTCCCTTGCTAGTCTCAGGGCCTGCCTTGGGGAAAAATACCAAGAGCTATGAGAGTTGTTAGCCAGGAACTGTGGACAGACCCAGCGTGTCCATATAATATCACCAGAAACTGTGGACAGAACCAGCATGTCCGTATAATATCACCAGAAACTGTGGACAGAACCAACATATCACCAGGAACTGTGGACAGACCCAGCATGTCCGTATAATATCACAGTCGTATATTATCAAAGTGGACTTACCAGATTTTGTAGGAAAACCCTCGTGTTCCTACAAACCACTGTTTGCCCTGCAGCGCAGACCTACTCCCTGTATCGTAATCCCTCCTAGCTTCATCTCTTTCCTTATGCGGTACGTGGTGATTAAATAGGTGTGCGACTTCTTGATCAGTAACAGTCTTCTACCAGACTGTGTCTTCCATAAGGGTAACAGAGACCATGACTGTTTTTGCTCATCCTTGTGCCTTGGTGCCCAGCACAGTGTGTGGACAGTTGTAGGTGCTAAGTGGATATTTATGGAACAGATGCATCAGTCTGTCTTTAAGATTCCCTCTAGCTGTGCACTGAGTTGCCTCCGTGGCTCCACCCCAGTTCGTATGCTGAAGCCCCAACCCCAGTGTGACTGGATTTGGAGATAGGGCTTTCAGGAGGCAGTTAAGGTTAAATGAAGTCATAGGGGTGGGATCCTAATCCTGTAGGGTTGGTGGCCTTGTAAGAGGAAGAGAGAGCGTGCTCGCTTCATAAGCATGCATCAAAGAAAGGCCACGTGAGCACATAGAAGGTGGCTGTCTGCAAGCCAGGAAGAGAGCCCTCACCAGAAACCACCCTGCTGGTGCACTGACCACAGCCTTCCAGCCTCCAGGACTGTGAGATAAACTGTTTCAGCCACCCAGCCTGGGGTGTTTTGTCATGGCAGCCAGAGCGGACTAAGGTACCTGTAACTAAGTAAGAGACATGAAACTAAGTAAGAGACTAAGTAAGAGACATGAAATTGAAATGTGTCAATTCAGGTATTTTGATTGCTGTTGGGGATGGATAAGCCAAAAAGAAAGACTATTTTAAATGACTAGATTTTGTAACAGATAGGTCGTAATATCTATCAACAGATAGACCGAGTAGATCAGTCTTTCCTGCTTTGGACAGAAGCTAGCCTTTGGGCCTGTTGGTGGGAGCACTCCTAATGTTATTAATGATACTAGTACCTAACCGTATTTGTTGAGGACTTTTCTTGTAGGAATGCTCATCCCATCATGAGGGCCCACCTCATGACCCCATCTAAACCCAGTCACCTTCCAAAGATTCCATCTTCAGGTACCATGACATTGGGTTTAGGGCTTCAACATGCGAGTTTTGGGGGGACAGAAACATTCAGTCCATACGGCAGAGGGGGCAGGCTGATGGGCCCAGCCTTTATTTTAACGGGCACATCTGAGCTGAGTCTTGAAGGATGCGTGTCGCAGAGGCTGCATCTGTTTTGCAACTGCAGTTGATCCAGGAGGAAACTGTGGAGGTGAATTTATAAAAGAAAATTGGAAGCCTATGGTGGTAAAATTGTGTACTTTGGGCAGTAAAAGTTGATTTTAGGAGTAAACCGCGGTATTATTAGTGGATGACGATTCATCATGGCAAACGTCTGGCAGGTATTTGAGTTCTGAGCTTGGTAAAAAGGTAGAGTTAGAAATGGTGCTGTGGAGCACCCCTGGTGTGCGGCGGCCGGCCGGGCGGTTCAGGACGTGCTCCTTCGCTGTCCTGACCCAGGTGCTCCCCTCGGCTGGGTCCCGACCCCAGCCCTGCTGCAGCCCCTTCCTGCCGGCTCTGGGTTGGAGGCAGGTGTCTGCTTTGGCTTTTCTCCTGCCTTGAAGTGGGGCCTCAACCCATTCGTGAGTTCTGAGTGTCAGTCTTATCAGGGAAATGGTGTTTCTTTAGAAATCAGTTAAAATAAAAATGCCTTTTTCTTTTTTTAAGGCAAAAGTAAAGAAGCAGAAATAAAAAGGATAAACAAGGAACTGGCAAATATCAGATCAAAATTTAAAGGTAAGTATGTTTAACCTTTTCCAGGAAATGTCCTGTTGTAAATTTTCTGTAATAAGAACCCAGTCTTTTAATACTGTCTTCTTTTCCCCCACACTGAAGTGAAGTTCTCAGTTTCTACAGTTTCTATCAGGGCTCTGTCAGAATTAGGAAATGGCACGTGTGCAGCTGGTTAGGTGCGGCGGCCCCTCCTGGTGTCTGGTCTTTTCCTGGAGCTGGAACAGCACCGGTTCGGTCCCCGGCTGCAGGTCACAGTGTTAGCCACCAGGCCAGTGTGCTGGGGGTTCAGAGGACAAACACCAAGTACGGGAAGCACTCTGCGCAAGGCGCCACCAAACGTTTCCTGCTGACGGTCAACAGGGACCTGACCCGCTCTCAGCAGACTACCTCTCTGTGAGCCAGTGTGCGGGCTGAGGGCCTTCCCTGAACATCCTTCCTTTGAAGAATTGTGAAGTACAGACTTAGTTTTCAGCCCTTAGGACATTTGTGAAAAGCCCAGTTAATCCTTCAAGCCTTAGTTTTTCAGTTAATGTTTACAGATTTGCGATCTGGCTCACCTCCCTTTGCATACCTTAGCCACAGTGTAGCTGAAATTGCTCAGGCACAGTGAATCGGGGAGAGGGCTGAGGCTGACCCCTGTAGAACTGGAGGGACAGGCAGAACACAGCTTGGGGACTCCTGGAGTTTCATGGGATGGGTGCTTTTGAGGGCTTGAGAATGGAGAATGGATATCCAGTAGTTTCTTTTTTCTTTTTTGAGATGGAGTCTTTCTGTGTCGCCCAGTGTGGAGTGCAGTGGCACGATCTTGGCTCACCTCAACCTCTGTCTTCCAGGTTCAAGCAATTATCCTGCCTCAGCCTCCCAAGTAGCTGGGATTACAGGTGTGTGGCACCACACACCTGTAATTTTATTTAGTAGAGACAGGGTTTCTCCATATTGGCCAGGCTGGTCTTGAACTCCCGACCTCAAGTGATCTGCACACCTTGCCCTCCCAAAGTGCTGGGATTACAGGCGTGAGACACTACTGTGCCTGGCCTGGCTGATTTTTGTACTTCTAGTAGAGATGGGGTTTCTCCATGTTGGTCAAGCTGATCTTGAACTCCTGACCTCAAGTGATCCAGCTGTCTCTGCCTCCCAAAGTGCTGGGATTACAGGAGTGAGCCACTGTGCCTGGCCTGGCTGATTTTTGTACTTTTAGTAGAGACGGGGTTTCTCCGTGTTGGTCAGGCTGGTCTCGAATTCCTGACCTCAGGTGATTTGCCCGCTTTGGCCTCCCAAAGTGCTGGGATTTCAGGCATGAGCCACCATGCCCGGTGTGCACATTGTTACATTGTTCTCAAATGTAAAATGGGGAAACCAGTGATCTCAAATTGGGTTCTCCAGGATGCGGACTCTGAAACGGGCTGTGTACAGAAGGTTTATCGGAGAGTGACACCAGTGAAAAGTAAAGGGCAGAAGCAGAAGGAGATGTGGGTCTGCCAGAGTCGCCACCACCTGCCCATCAGGGAGCTCGGGAGCCCAGATTGCCAGCTGGAGGCGGTGGCACTGGGTTGAAAGGGCTGCACCCTGGCACCCTCTCGCTCAGCCGTGGCTCTCCACGTGGGGAGCCTGATCCTGACAAAGCCAGCCCCTGCCAGCCGGCCTTTACTCTTGGCGCCACTGGGCCTTCATTGAACGGGATCTGTGTCTGCTCATTGTGAGGAAATTAGGAAATACATAGAAATTGCTTGAAAAGAAACCAGCGCCCAGCCAATGTTAATCCATTTTGTTTTTGTGAAAAGAGTTCATGGCCTTTAGAATGCTAAAGATTAAATTTGAATGGGAGATTTTTATAGGTTTCAGAATAATAATCTAATTTGTTGAGGTATAACTTTAAAGACTTTGTTAGGCTGTTAAATTTACAAACTCTCTGGCCAGGTGTGGCTTCACGCCTGTAATCCCAGCACTTTGGGAGGCTGAGGCGGGTGGATCACTTGAGGTCAGGAGTTCAAAACCAGCCTGACCAACATGGTAAAACCCCATCTCTGCTAAAAATACAAAAAAATTTAGCTGGTCATGGTGGCATGTGCCTGTAATCCCAGCTACTCCTGAGGCAGGAGAATTGCTTGAATGCGGGAGGAGGAGGTTGCAGTGAGCTGAGATCGCACCGTTGCACTCCAGCCTGGGTTACAAAAGCAAAACTCCATCTCAAAAAAAAAAAAAAAAAAAAAAAGGGAGCCGAGCATGGGCTCACGCCTGTAATCCCAGCACTTTAGGAGGCCGAGGTGGGCGGGTCGCTTGAGGTCAGGAGTTCAAGACCAGCCTGGCCAACATGGTGAAACTCCATCTTTACTAAAGATACAAAGGTTAGCTGGGTGTGGTGGCGCGTGCCTATAGTCCCAGCTACTTGGGAGGCTGAGGCAGGAGAATCGCTTGAACTGGTGAGGCGGAGGTTGCAGTGAGCCGAGATTGTGCCACTGCACTCCAGCCTGGGAGATAGAGCAAGGCTCTGTCTCAAAAAAAAGAAATTTTTTTTTACAAACTCTGTATAAATATTTTGGGACTAAAGGAGACTTCATGCCTGTCTGGCTGTCCTAGATAGGGAAGGTGGCCCCTCCTACACAGTGACATGTTGGCTTTTGTTGAGCGTGCGCGTACCCTGGGTGGTGACAGCAGACACAGAAGAAAATCTACTCCTTGTCCGTAAGAAATGTGCTGCCTGAGGCCTGCCCTGCCAGCTGTGGGTAGATGGGGTGACTTAGAACTGTGCTCTCCAATTTAGCAAGAGAGTCTCAGTCACACTCCTAGGTCTAAATGTTCCGGCAGCCTCATTGGAAAAAAGTAAAAAGGAGCAAATGAAATTAATCATGTATTTTATTTAGTTTAGTATATCTAAAATGTTGTTGTAATCAATTGAAAAAAACTGGTCGTCATGGTGGCTCACACCTGTAATCCCAGCCCTTTGGGAGGCCGAGGTGGCTGGATCACTTGAGGTCAGGAGTTTGAGACCAGCCTGACCAACATGGCGAAACCCCATGTCTATTAAAAATACAGGACTTAGCCGGGCGTGGTGGCGGGCTCGTGTAATCCCAGCTACTCGGGAGGCTGAGACAGGAGAATTGCTTGAACCCGGGAGGCAGAGGTTGCAGCGAGCCGAGATCGTGCCAATGCACTCCAACCTGGGTGACAAAGTGAGACCCCGTCCCAGAAAAAAAAAATTAAAAAAACAAGGTACCGAGTTGTTTTACACCAGGTCTTTGAGGTCTGGTTGTGTGTGTCACACTTAGAGTGCGTCTCAGAGTTATTTCACACCAAGGTGCTTTGAGGGTCTGGTTGTGTGTGTCACACTTAGAGTGCGTCTCAGAGTTATTTCACACCAGGTCTCTGAGGTCTGGTTGTGTGTGTCACACTTAGAGTGCGTCTCAGAGTTATTTTACACCAGGTCTCTGAGGTTTGGTTACACCAGGTCTTTGAGGTCTGGTTGTGTGTGTCACACTAGAGTGCGTCTCACTTCGGACTGGCTGTTTCACTTGCTTACTAGCTGCGTGTGGCATGAGGCCGCTGCATGAGCACTGCTGATTCAGACCAACCCTTCTGCTGAAAACAATTGATCGATTGATTGAGCTGTTGATTTATTGAGACAAGATCTTGCTCTGTTGACCAGGCTGCCCAGTGCAATCACAGCTCACTGCAGCCTCAACACCCTGGGCTTAAGTCATCCTTCCACCTCAGCCTCCCAAGTAGCTGGGACACAGGCGCCACCACCATGCCTGGCTAACACGTAAAAAAAGTTTTGTAGAGATGAGGTCTTGCCATGTTACCTAGGCTGGTTTCAAACTTATGGGCTCAAGCGATCGGTCTGCCTTGGCCTCCCAAAGTGCTGGGATTATAGGCATGAGCCACTGAGCCTGGCCCCTAGGAGTGTGGGTCCACTCGTGGGTGGAGGTGGGAGGCTGTCAAACACCCGAAGTGTATAGAGCGGCCCCCACAACAGAGGTGTCAGCCAGGGTGTCCGTAGTGCCAGGGCTGAGGAGCCTTGTCTAGAGGGATGATAGTCAAAGACTGGAGACCGCCTTCCACAGTGAACTGAAGGCCTCACCCAGAGGTAATACCCACAGGGCAGAGTGAACTGTCAGCGAGCCAGTCCTCTTCCAGACTTGCAGCCAGGGTCTTGACATGGGGATGCTGTACATAACCTCAAAATGTTGGGAAAGTTACAACTAGGGAAAGAATCGATATCCAACAAAAATACCTTTTAAGAATGAAGCTAAAAAATACCTGCTGAAGACAGAAATGGAAAGAATTTCCTACCAGAAGGCCTGTGCTAAAGGAAATTCCAAAGGAAATAATCCCAGATGGAAGTGTGGAGATGGAAAGCATGGAATGGGCAGGACAGCGGGAGATGTGTAGGTCACTCCAGTGCATTGTGTCTCGTGGTCATGTCTGTCTGTGGAGTTTCTTCAGTAGTGCCGTGAACTTCAGAAAGTTGAATCCGTATTTGTTTGCCATGAAGAAAACTGTAGGCCCAGATGGCTTCCCTGTGATCTTTATCCTTTAATGAGGGTTGTTAGGTGTGACCATCTGATGTGTGGCCTAAGGTGTGTGGACAGAAGTGTTCCTGTCAGTCCCAACCTCAGCTTTAAGGGAGTCTCCCCTCTGGGCTCTTCCTACCTCCGCTATGACAAGAACGTGCTTTGGGTGGCGTGGGCCCAGAGCACAGCCATGGACAGCAGGCCCGGCCAGATCTGACGGTGTCTTGACAGTGGCCTGTAGATGCATGGGCAGGAAATCAGTGCTTACGTGCACCTGCCATGCTTGCAGGAGCCCAGGGGAGTTCCTGGGATGTTCACGGGTGTGGCTTCCGTCTTTGAGCCTTTAGAAAACAACTGTTGTGTTCTCACACTCTACAGTAGAGACTGGTAGTTTCTTTTTTAAAGAAACAGGGTCTTGTTCTGTTGCCCAGGCTGGAGTGCTGTGGCATGATCCTAACTCACTGCAGCCTTGACTTCCTGGGCTCAGGTGATCCTCCTGCCTCCACCTCCCGAGTGGCTAGGACTACAGGTGTGCACCACCACGCCCAGCGAAATTTAAAACTTGTCGTAGAGATGGGGTCTCGCTATGTTTCCCATGCTGATCTCGGATTCATGGCCGCAGGTGAACTCACCCACCTCGAGTGAATCCTCCCAAAAATGGTGGGATTACAGGCGAGAGCCACTGCACCTGGCTGGTCATTTCTTGTTATCGATCGTCTCCAGGAGTTTCCCAGGTAGTGCACATTAATTTGCTAACTAGGCCGGGCGCGGTGGCTCGTGCCTATAATCTTAGCACTTTGGGAGGCCGAGGCAGGCAGATCACTTAAGCCCAGGAGTTCAAGACCAGCCTGGGCAACATGGTGAAACCCTAAAAATCTCTACTAAAAGTACAAAAATTAGCCGTGTGTGGTGGCACATGCCTGTGGTCCCAGCTACTCGGGAGACTGAGATGGGAGGATCACTTGAGCCCAGGAGGTTGAGGCCACAGTGAGCCGTGGTCATGCCACTGCACTCCAGCCTGGGTGGCAGAGCGAGACCTTGTCTCAAGACAAAACACTTTAGTTTTTCTTTCAGTTGGGCAGCCTGTTGTTCATTTTACCATTAGTTTGCTTGATTATTAATTCATTGATGTAAAAGGCAAAAACTGAGCAACTGCCTTGTACCACACACTGTTGTTGGGGCTGGTGTGCATTGGTGAGAAAGTGGAAGGAGTCCCCACCCTGCCTCCGAGGGTGTGAGCCCCATGCAGGCTGTGGGGGTTGGAGACAGTGGAGCCAGCAGTGCCTCTGGCTGGTGACCAGATGGCTGGTGACCAGTCAGGTCTCTGTCCCTCTTCCCAACTTTCAGGTCAAGAGAAAGCCTTGAGGTTCTGGTTGCTGACTCACTCTCCAGTTTATCTTACTCGACTTGATATTTTGTTATAAAAAAATACCAGGCCAGGTGCGGTGGCTCATGCCTGTAATCCCAGCACTTTAGGAGGCCGAGGTGGGCAGATCACCAGGTTAGGAGTTTGAGACCAGCCTGGTCAACATGTTGAAACCCTGTCTCTACTAAAAATACAAAAATTAGCCGGGTGTGGTGGCGCGTGCCTGTAATCCCAGCCACTCGGGAGGCAGAGGCACGAGAATCGCTTGAACCTGGGAGGCGGAGGTTGCAGTGAGCCAAGATTGCGCCACTGCACTCCAGCCTGGGTGACAGAGTGAGACTGTCTCAAAAAAAAAACAAAAACAAAAAACAAAAACAAGAGGCAGGTTTCAGTCATTCTGAGGTAGACATTTTGTCCACATTTTATCATCTGTGAAAGATGGTGCTTCTGACCTTGTGTTGTGACCTTATGTTGCCCCAGACCCCTGAGCTCTGTGTCTGCTGTGCTGTTTTTTTTTTTTTTTTTTTTTTTTGAGACGGAGTCTCGCTCTGTCGCCCCCGACTGGAGTGCAGTGGCCGGATCTCAGCTCCACTGCAAGCTCCACCTCCCGAGTTCACGCCATTCTCCTGCCTCAGCCTCCCGAGTAGCTGGGACTTACAGGCGTCCGCGTACCGGTCGCCCGGACTAGTTTTTTGTGTTTTTTAGTAGAGACGGGGTTTCACCATGTTAGCCAGGATGGTTTCGATCTCCTGACCTCGTGATCCACCCGTCTCGGCCTCCCAAAGTGCTGGGATTACAGGCTTGAGCCACCGCGCCCGGCCGCTGTTTCATTTTCATAATAACCTGCCGAGGAAGTTGGGCTCAGAGAGGTTAAGGGTTATGTCTGAGACCACAAGACAAGCAAGTGGCTGCATCTTTCAGACGGGAGCCCAAACTTAATCGTGATCGTTTTATGGTTTAGGATGAGGTTTCCCAGCCATTCTCTCTGATCTGCACAAACCAAGGAGACAGGTATTACTGTTATCCTCCTCCTTTGATAGCTCAGAATATTGAAGTTCAACTCAACAGTTTAAAATTGCTAGAATAAAAAAGTAATTCTAGCCCAGTACTGAAACTAGCATTTTGAAGACTGTATCAGTCTGGGTCCTTTCAGGAGGGGTAAACTTCACAGTAGGCACCTGTCAGGGGAGCTGGCGGGCTCACCTGCTCCACCGAGATGGGTGAGGGTGTGGAGTGAGCATTGCTGCTTGTTTCCTGTGGCCCTGGGTTAAGCCAGGAGTTCACGTGCTGCCACGTGAGCAGCGGGACTGAGCACTGTGGCTTTCTCCTCGCGCTGGTGACTTCCGTCGCCCCTCCTCACGATGCTTATGCATCGGGTGGTGTGCCCAGGAGAGTGCTCTCTGACATCCCTGGGGGACCCAGAGGTGATCCTGCATCGCCCTCACTGTCCAGTGGGCTCAGCTTGTAAAGATGGGCCTAAGTTTCCCAGCACCTGGGAGCTCTAGAGCAGCTCTTTGTCTGGGGTCCTGCAGGAGCAGATCCTGGTCAGCTCTTCTGGGAGAGAGCCTGTCTCCACCTCTGTCCCTGTCTCCGTCCCCGTCCCCGTCCCACAAAACTCAGCCCAGTCGGGCTGTTGGTCCTCCCCGTCAGTTATTTTTTCCTTTGAGAGGTGCTTTGAGTGAGTAACAGGGAAGTCTCCGGAGGGAGGAGGAGGTCAAGCAGTATTTTTGGCTGTGGTTGTCCAAGGCGGCTTCCAGCGGGTGATGGAATCTGGGCTGGGTAGGAGACACGGTGCTGGGGCTTCCCAGTGGAGGACCTCTGCTGCGAAGCCCGTGCTCAGCTGTGTGTGCTCTCCTGCACAAACAGGGCACGGAGAACGTGTCTGCTGGGACCCCTTGGGCACAGCAAGCAGGTAAGTGGGTCAGGGCAGGGGAGGGAGGAGTGAACTTCATGGACGGGAGGCTGGAACCGGGTTGGGTCTGCTTTTATTTATATCGTCTGGTCTGTTAAATGATGTTAATTTGCTACTGACAAGGAACAGGCTTCTCATGAGCTCCTCGGAGTCCAGCGTCCAGCTGACTGGCTGATGGGCGATGCACCGTTCCCCAGGAAAGTGGCTGGCCTGTATTCTACACAGCCTGAGAGGTTGTCCATGGAGGTGTAAGCGCCCCAGCCCTTCACAAGAAGGGGGCCAGAGCAGCTGGTGTGGCTGGGCTGTCTTCCCAGTCTGCATTCCTTCACGCTGTGGCAGCAGAGTCTCCGTGAGACCTGGCCTCAAGGCCATCTTTCCCGCTCGCCTCCACAGCCTGCTGGAGGCTGGCTCCGAGGGGCACTCCCTTACCTCTCAGGTGGGATAGGAATGCAGAATGTTCTTTTTCTTTTTTTTTTGAGACGGAGTTTCGCTCTTGTTGCCCAGGCTGGAGTACAATGGTGTGATCTCGGCTCACTGCAACCCTCGCCTCCCAGGTTCAAGCAGTTCTCCTGCCTCAGCCTCCCGAGTATCTGGGATTACAGGCATGCACCACCATGCCCGGCTAATTTTGTATTTTTACTAGGGATGGGGTTTCTCCATGTTGAGGCTGGTCTCGAACTCCTGACCTCAGGTTATCTGCCCGCCTTGGCCTCCCAAAGTGCTGGGATTACAGGCGTGAGCCACCGTGCCCGGCCCAGAACGGCCCTTTAAGGGTCAGTTTTATATTTTGGAATTTTATATTCTGCTAGTTACGTGTTTTTGTTTTTGTTTTTTCTTTGAGACGGAGTCTCGCTCTGTCGCCCAGGCTGGAGTGCAGTGGCGCGATCTCGGCTCACGGCAAGCTCCGCCTCCCAGGTTCACGCCATTCTCCTGTCTCAGCCTCCTGAGTAGCTGGGACTACAGGTGCCCGCCACCGCGCCCGGCTAATTTTTTGTATTTTTAGTAGAGACGGGGTTTCACCGTGGTCTCGATTTCCTGACCTAGTGATCCACCCGCCTTGGCTTCCCAAAGTGCTGGGATTACAGGCGTGAGCCACCACGCCTGGCCAGTTACATGTTTTGAACCTGCTCTACCGTGATCCCTTGTGAGGGACTCAGGCAAACTGGGATGAGGCAGAGAAACAGAAGCCCTAGGGGCCATTGCGTGTGGGCCTTGTTTTCATGACTAGCTGATTCGCCCTAGAATGGCTGTGAAGTGGCAGATAATTTAGACTGTGTTCATCTGCCCAAATAAATAAACTGATTTCAAAGACAAGCTTGATGGTTGAAGACAGGGTTTGCAAGTTCCATCACAGCAGGGCCCTCTGTGGGATTTTGGCTGGTCGGAGTGAGGCCCTGTGAGGGCCAGCTGGGCTGCACCTGCCCAGGGTTGTCCTGGGAGGGCAGAACTCTTGTTGCCAGGTGTTCTGGTGCCGGTTTTTGAAAGGGAAATAAAAAACTTGGATTCTGATGAGTACCAGGAGGTTAGAAGGGTTGTCCATGCTCAGCAGTGTCTGCAGCTTCACCTTCCTGGACCTGGCCACCCCTCTGCTGGAGGCCTGTCCGTTCTGCCTGCTGTACTGCTGCACTGCCCTCTGCTCTCCCCTCTCCCCTGCCTCTGCCCACCTGGAATAAAACCTCTTCCCCACCTTTTCTGTAGGTGACAAGGCTCTTGATGGCTATAGTAAAAAGAAGTACGTCTGCAAGTTGCTCTTCATCTTTCTCCTTGGTCATGACATTGACTTTGGACACATGGAGGCTGTGAACCTGCTGAGTTCAAACAGATACACGGAAAAGCAGATCGTGAGTATCGCTGCAGATGGAGGCGGTGGAGGACGGCCTGTGCCTGGCAGGACTGAGGCCCCGTGCCCGCGTGGGGTCGCCGCTTCCTTCTCTACCCACAGCTGACATGAGCCACGTGGGTCTGCTGCAGATGGAGTTGCATGTCCAGTCCGTGTTAGCACCTGCTGCTAACACCTCGAGGGCCCCCTTCCCCCCTAATCTGGGTGCTCTTCAGGAAGCCCCATGCCCTCACAGCGTTCCTCCTCCTGCATGCTGTTCTCCTGATGAGGTGGCCATGCGTTCTCTTCCTCCTTTCTTCGAAACCTCCCTTCCGGCGAGTTCCAAGACTTCCTGGTTGGTCTGGAGAGCGGTGCACGTGACCCAGCGTTTGATGTGGTTGGTGCCCTGTGCCCATGAGGTCGGCCTCCAGAGGAGGGATGTCTGCCTGCCACAGTGCCTTGTTGACACACTGTCCTGAGTAGACCCGTCCCGTGGCCCCTTGGACCACTTTGTTTCTGCAGTAGGCACTGGATGCACATGGCTGGGTCTTGGTGCGGAGGGTGCTCGGCCCACCATCTTCCCAGCCACGCACAGCGTCCTGTCACTCCGTGGAGGGTGCTCGGTCCACCGTCTCCCCAGCCCTTGCCGGGCTGATGCACGGTGTCCTGTCACTCCGTGGAGGGTGCTCGGTCCACCTTCTCCCCAGCCCTTGCCGGGCTGATGCACGGTGTCCTGTCACTCTGCTTTTGAAACCTTCATGGGCTCTGCAAGTTGAACTGTGTAGTCTCTTGTAGCCACATTATTTTTGTGTTTTCCCTGGTGGTATAAAGTAACATTTTCTTCCATTTGTCAAAAAATTAAACTTAGAGAAATTAAGAGAGACTCTAGATGTCTCAGGGGTTTTGATAAGTTTTGGTATTTATTCAACGAGCATTTGTGGAGTGCCTGTGGTGCACCAAGTAGTGTTGGGGGACATCGGGGATTAGCCTCGAGGACAGAGGCACAGGGACCAGAACTTGGGCCCTGCCCTTGTCCTGGGGGAGATGGGTGTCACATGGCTCCACAGACATAGAATTTGAAAGGATTTGAGAGAGGGAGTGGGGGTGGGTGTGTTGAGCTGAGGCTGGAGGGAGGGGAAGTTAACTGGGGGGCTGAGGGCGGGAGGAGCAGGGCGAGCAGAGCAGGTGGTGCCTGGCAGTGGCCTGGGCTGTGAGAGCAGGGCTGAAGGGGCAGTAGTGTTTGGAAGGTCGGGAGCTCCCTGGTGGCATCTTCCTGGGAGCTGTGGGAGGCTGGGCACATCTTTAACCTGGGTGGTCAGTGATGGATTGGGTCTGGAGAAAACCACTGTTTCCCCCTGGGTGGGGAGGGTGTGACCTGTGAGGATGGCTGGGAAGAAGTGACAGTGACACGGGACTGGGGTTTGCCCTGGGTCGGTGGGGGTGGGGGGTCGGGGCGGCGTGAGGCTGTGACACAGGCAGATTAAAGAGTGGGAGGGAACAGGCAGCTGGGTTTCTGGAAATCACTGTAGCTAAAATCAGCCTGTCAGTGAAGGTTCCCTCCTATCTTAAGTCGAGGATAGTGTGATGGCCGGAACACTCAGACACGTGGCCCACAGTGGAGTGAGTGGGACTGGGGGGTCCGGTTCCTGTTGGCGTCTGGCTCATGGCATCCTAGTCAGATGTGCCCCACAGGAACGCTGCGGCATGAGAGCATCGTAGTGGAGGCATCCCGGTTCCACCGGAACAGACGTTTGCCGAGTCCTGAGAGCTGCAGCTCCCACAGCAGTGCCCTGGGTGCATGGGTGGTGCTGGGGCTGCTTCTGCGTCTGTGTGTCACTGCTTGTTGGGTGACTCGGGGCCACAGGCAGAGTTGGATTGTCACGAGGTTTCTCTTCTCCTGTCTTTTGGAATGCAGGGCTACCTTTTCATCTCTGTGTTGGTGAACTCGAACAGTGAGCTGATCCGCCTGATCAACAACGCCATCAAGAATGACCTGGCCAGCCGCAACCCCACCTTCATGGGCCTGGCCCTGCACTGCATCGCCAGCGTGGGCAGCCGGGAGATGGCCGAGGCCTTTGCCGGGGAGATCCCTAAGGTCCTTGTAGCCGGGTATGTGCCGGGCTCCTGCTGAAGATGTGCTGCTTTCATGCCCAATGCATCAAATGTGGAGCTGCTTAGCCTAGGAAATGTTTTACTCACCCCGTCTTACGGGAGATGAGATGTAGCCTGAGGTCGGATCCAGAATTACAAGTTTAGGCTGGGCGTGGTGGCTCATGCCTCTAATCCCAGCACTGTGGGAGGCCAAGGTGGAAGAATCACTTGAGCCCAGGAGTTCAAGACCAGCCTGGACAACATAGGGAGATCCCATCGCTACAAACATTTTTAAAAAATTAGCCAGGTGTGGTGGTGTGCTCCTGTCGTCCCAGCTACTTGGTAGGCTGAGGCAGGAGGATTGCTTAAGCCCAGGAGGTCAAGGCTACAGTGAGCTGTGTTCATGCCACTGCTCTCCAGCCTGGGCAACAGAGCAAGATCCTGTCTCCAAAACAAAAAGAGAATTACAAGTTTAGATTTCAAGTAAAGTGCAGTCAGACTTTCCCTCTCCAGTACCACTGAGATTCAAAACAAATCAAAGAAGAATGCCCAAACCCTGCTGGCCAAACCAAGGAGAGGCTTCAGCCCCACAGGTCACCGGGTAGAACGACGCGTCTCGGGGCAGTTCCTCCTCGCGCCCTTTCCAAAGGGCTTCATGCGGAGAAGCTGAGCACCACACCGAAGTGCCCTTGGCCGTCTTTTCCGTCCCTCGTTAATTTGGAGAGAAGCCTTGTGGGGCTGAGTCACCAGCTCTGGAAGAGCTTAAAGCAGCCCTGGGGTATCTGTGCCACAGGCAGGGCCCCCACCGGCGTGTTCCAGGATACCCTGTGGAGTTGGGAAACTGACGCCCTGCCCACATGGTGCCACCCAGCTGAGCTGGGCCTCAGACCACAGGAGATTGGGTGGACATCCACGCAGACTACACAGTGAGAACCGGAGAGAAGGTGGTGGGAAGGCATGAGAGAAACAGGCCTAGACCCGGCATCTTAGCTGGGCCACATTGGCTTTGTGAGGGCACTGGGCCATGTCTTGGGGCATTTTTGGTTGTTAGAGTGGGTAGAGACCAGGGTGTTGCACCCCACACCACACAGGACACCCCCTAACAGAGAATGAAGCAGCCTTCTGTCAGCTGCAAGGCAAGGAGGATGTCCCACAATAGAGAATGAGGCAGCCTCTTGTCAGCCGTGAGGCAAGGAGGAGCCCGCCTGGCAGGGAGACCGCAGCACAGTCCCGAGAAGACAGCTATTCAGAAGCACAAGAGTTCAGAGATGGGTAACCCCGCAGTAGGATGGACAGGAGCAGAACCGGAGAACCGGGGGAGCAGGTGCAGGGCCTGAAGGCACCGCTGCTCCTCAGGCCATTCAGTCACAGGTGGCAGAGCACGTGGTGGGTGCCCTGAAAACAGGGTGTCCAAGATGGAAGGAAGGCGGCTTGAATAACCAGAGGACGCTGGTGCAGGAGACGGAGGGTGGACTGGGGATCGGAGTCAGCCAGAAGGTCCAATGGATTCTGCCTCAGGGCCACGGCTCCCCGGCCTTCCCTCTCCTCCTGCCCCCAGGGTTGTTGCTTGCCTGTTTTTTCCTTCCTGGGCTCTGAGGTTTTTGTCCACTGCGGTGGCTGCTGTATACCCAGCATCTTGAACAGTACCAGGTCCCTAGTATGTGCTTGGTGGGTGTCTGTGCGTGAGTGGAATGCAAGACAGGGCCACCCCTGAAGCGCGTGCAGATTGATGAAGTGGGGCATTTCCTGAACCGAGCACCTGCTGCAGGAGCCAGGGACAGAGCAGAGAGGAGCCAGGGCGAGGAGGGGTCTCCAGGGGCTAGTGCATTGTGTCTGCAGCCGGAAGGGAGCAGGTGGCCCATGTTGTGGTGCCTGAGTGGGCCCATGGGGATGAAGGTCACAGGCAGGGTTCTCCTACCTCAGAGAGCTCAGGTAACATGGTACCCATGGTACCTTCCTTGAAGAAAAGGGCCAGTTGTTGAAGTCCATCTAAGTAGTGGATGACTCAAAGTAACCTGCTCAGGCTGGGCGCGGTGGCTCACGCCTGTCATCCCAGCACTTTGGAAGGCTGAGGTGGGTGGTCCTGAGGTCAGGAGTTTTGAGACCAGCCTGGGCAACATGGTGAAACCCCGTCTCTACTAAAACTACAAAAATTAGCCGGGCGTGGTGGTGCTCTCTTGTAGTCCCAGCTACTCAGAAGGCTGAGGCAGGAGAATTGCTTGAACCTAGGAGGCGGAGGCTACAATGAGCTGAGATGGCGCCACTGCACGCCAGCCTGGGCAACAGAGTAAGACTCTGTCTCAAAAGAAAAAAAAAAAAAGAAAAAAAAAACCTGGGCGTGGTGGCTCACGCCTGTAATCCTAGCACTTTGCGAGGCCGAGACGGGCAGATCACCTGAGGTCAGGAGTTCGAGACCATCTTGGCCAACATGGTGAAACCCTATCTCTACTAAAAATATAAAAATTAGCTGGGCGTGGTGGCACCCTCCTGTAATCCCAGCTATTTGGGAGGCTGAGTGCAGGAGAATCACTTGAACCTGGGAGGCGAAGGTTGCAGTGAGCCGAGAGTGCTCTGCTGTATTCCAGCCTGGTGAAAGAGTGAGATTCTGTCTCAAAAACAAAAACAAAAACAAAAAAAACCATGCTCAGGAAGGAGGTGCTGTGGTTGGAGGACTCCTGGTGTGTGTGTCACCTAGAAATGGAAGGACAGAGTGGGTGCTGAGGAGGTCAGGTCATTCCTAGGGCCAGAGGTAGAGATGGGGGGCAGCAGCCAAGGCAGAAGAATGGGGGTGGTGTCTCTGCTGGGATGGATGGAGTTGATGGAAAGAGAACCACCATGGAGGTGCAGAGTAGCCGTGGGGTCCTCGGTCTCCCTCGTGTGAGCCAACACTGGAGAGTAGTGGTGGGGTCCTCGGTCTCCCTCGTGTGAGCCAACGCTGGAGAGTAGCCGTGGGGTCCTTGGTCTCCCTCGTGTGAGCCGACGCCGGAGAGTAGTGGTGGGGCCCCCGTCCCCCTTGTGTGAGCCGATGCCAGCCCTTGCGGATCCTCCTGCTCTGAGGAGCGTGGCGTGCTGGGCGCCCTCCTGTGTCGGCATTCGTAGCCACAAGCATGGAACCTGGTTGGTTCCTCTCTGTTGAAGGACTGCTAGGGGCCGAGTCATGGGGTCCTGAGGCTGCCTGGCAAGGACAGCCCTGCTGGCGCCTGGTACACACCCCTGACGTGGCCTCGACCACACATCCATGTGGACGCACAGCAGGGTGTGTGTGCGGTTCCTGCTCTGGGCTGATCTTGTGAGGATGGGGTGAGCCGGAAGAGGGACACAATGCCTACTTCTCCTTTCAGGGGCTGTTTGCACCCAGAAGGGGAGTTTTTTACTCAAAGTAATTTTTCTTTGGAATAGTATGGGGGAGATTTAGGAATAAAAAAGCCAGGAGGTAAATGGTACAGGTTGTCTCTACACACTTTTCTTTCACGTGGAGCAGTGGATCCATCTGATTCTGTTAAGTGCTTGGAGAAGAGACTGGTCCTTTTTCAGCTGTGTCTCCACAGCATCCACCCCAGGCTCCCTGTTGCCTTCCCAGCTGCTTAGCAGAGTCTGGTGGCGGGAGGGCGAAGGGGGATAAGCAGAGCATGGAACATGGCTGTGGCCTGAACAAGTGTGTTGGCAGCAGAGCAGGAGAGCCCATGGCCGGCTCCCTTCCCACCGTGTCTGCAGGGACCCGAAGTCCTTTGCTCCGGGGCTGAGGGCACGGGCGGCCCAGCCCACTGTTCAGGGTGGGGCGTGGTGGGGTGAGGGTGGGTGTGGGGCAGGGGAAGATCACCAAGCAGATGTGGAGCTCCATGGCGGTGCAGGGCCCTCCACACATTTCTGTTGTGATTGTGGATTAAGTTGTAACAATAACAAGAGAGCTATTGTTCAAACAACGAATGAGCAACATGAGCTGCATGTGGTCGGCTGGTGGTTTTGGTGGTGAGAAGGTTGGCAGGGAGACCTTTGGAGCAGGGCCCATGTGTGCTGAGAACGCTGCTGCTGCCCCCTAGGTGGCCCTTGGCAGGCGGTCCTGAGTGCTGTCCTGGCCCCTGTGCCAGCCCCACCCCCGCATCTCCTGCTGGCTCTGGGGGGGTGCTCCGTGCAGCTCTGTGCTGTGCTCAGCCCGTTGGGAGTGACTCTGACGTCTGTCTTTCAGAGACACCATGGACAGCGTGAAGCAGAGCGCGGCCCTGTGCTTGCTGCGCCTATACAGGACGTCCCCTGATCTTGTCCCCATGGGCGACTGGACGTCCCGAGTGGTGCACCTGCTCAATGACCAGCACTTGGTAAGCGCCCTTGGCTTCGGTTCTCCCCACTCCCCAGGTGACCTTCGGGATGGCCGTTGTGAAGACACCATGGTGCGCCTTCTCGGGATGCCCAGGAGAGGCTCTCGCAGGGGCTGCTGTGGCTGTGAGTGCCGAGGCCATGGCGGCCCTTCCTGGGGCTGGATGAGTAAGACTCCACCTCTGCTCATCCTGTGGCCAGGCACTGGCTGAAGCCCTTGTAGCATGGAGGCTCTGCAGACACCCACAACTGAGACACGTGTTTCCTGGAAACACCTGTCTAGTACGGGAAGCTCCTGCCTGGCGTCCCGGCTGCCTGTGCCCTCATCTAGGCTCCCATGTGCAGTCTCACTAATCCACATGCCTACTCCACGGGCCAGGCGCAGCGGTCATCCCCATGGTATAGGCATAGACCGGGGTGGAGGTTTGCAACGATTTGGTGATGTGTATTCAGGTGCCGTGAGAGGCAGGTGTGGGGGAGGGGCTGCGCCAGCGTGTGAGCCCCAGGGGCTTGGGGGTCACAGAGCCGTCCACCGCATCCAGCAGGGGTGGATGTGGGCAGAGGGGGCTTGTCCTGCCTGAACTCTGCTGTATGAGTAAGAGGGTCAGAGTTGGCAGGAGTGGAAACATTTCCTGCTGTGTGGAGAGGCGTGTGGGCCGGTCACGCGTTCACAAGGACCCAGGATCGAGGGCCGAGAACACCACTTTCCCGTGTTACCGTGAGCCCCATCCTGGCAGGGGAGCCTTTCAGACGGCGCTGCTGGAGGCTGTCGTCCACCATCCTGTGGACCCTGGGAGGTCGTGGGATTTTCCAGCTTTGCAGTCAAGGAGGCTGAAGCTCAGAAAGAGGAAGTGTCCTCTCACAGCCCCAGGCCTGTACCCGGAGTGGGCGTGCTGGGGCCTTGGGCGTCCGAGAGTGTGCAGGTAAAGCAGCTGTGTGGGAGCCGTGAGTCGGCAGGGCCTGGTCAGGGAGGCAGGCCCTGGGCTCCTGCCCCACATGGCAGCCAGGCACTGGGCTGCTGAGCGGCCGGGGCTGCCTGCTTTCCCCCGGGCCTTCTGCAGACAGGATCTGGGCACGCTCCGTGGGACTGGCCGGGGCTACTGTCATTGCTCCTGCCTTGGAGGGAAGTTTCTGCGGCCATGCGGCCGTAGGGTCACCCTGAGTGCTTTTCAGGGTGGCAGGGCCTTGCCTCAGGTGGCCACGAGGGCACCTCTCCTTGGATGCTGTATGATTCTGTGACCCCAGCTACTTGGTTTGCTTTTCGTATTTTTATGCATGTGGCTGTATTTCACCAGGCACTTGAGTCAGCATATTCTTGGTTAAAGGCAACAGAAACTCTTCCTGAAGGGGTGTCACAGCCAACCCCAGGGTGGGCTCCCTGCTGACCAGCACTTTCCCATCTTACCTCTCCCAGCTTGTGCGCCCACGCCCCCGGCAGGCTGTCTTTTGTGTGGCCATGGCTTTTGTCGAGCGCCTTCCACCTCTGACAGTGAAGGCCTGAGGCTTGGCTTCTCTGGTCTCAAGTCATGAGCCCCCAAGAAAGGTGTCATTTGCTCACTAGAGTGAGTGAGCTCCCCCATGTGTCCTTCAGGGAGGTCTTGTGGAGTGGGGCAGGAGGCGTGTGCAGGACCAGGTGGGTGAGGGTCAGAAGGTCGGCGGTCAGGCGTGCACCCAGACCTTGGGCATGGTGGGGAGGGTGGTGATGTGGCCTGAGTGCTGCATGGGCACCATGCTGAGCCTTGGGTCTTGTAGCCTGAGGGTGGCCTGATGGAGCAGACAGGTTGGAGTGGACGAGGACAGCAGACACCATGGAGAGAAGGGTTGGGGGGCCAGGCCAAGGGCTAGAGGCCACTGAGGAGACACTGAGGTCGCCGCGGCGCCAGCTGCTGCCACAGGGGTGGGGCCACGTGTCGCGTGCCTGAGTGTGCTCAAGAGGCCTCTTGCAGTCTCAGTGCAGGGGGAGGATATCCTAAGTGAGAGGCTGAGCTCAGTGCCCATGAGTGCCTGTCAGCCTGTCACAGGGGCGTTCTAGATGCATGTTCGCTGGGGGAACACACCCTGAACATTCAGGGTCTGTGAGGAATGATCTGCCTCATGGAAGTTAATATAAGACCTGAAGTTTTTACAAGTTTTTTATTGGATATGGCAATCGTTAGACTTGCTACGAGAAATACAGCAAGAAAAGGACCATCAGGAGCTTTCTTTTATTTAGCTTTCACGTTTTCCTTTGCCACGGTACAAGGGCATAGCAGGTCTCTGGGGAGGTGCTGATGTAGTAGCTGTACCCAGCCAGGTCTCAGGAGCCGTTGGTGGCCAGGGCGAGCGGTGGGGGACCTACTGGATCATATTCGAGGTGACATTTTTCTTTGAGGACAGAGTCTTTGTCTGTCGCCCAGGGTGGGTGCAAGTTGGCGGGATCTCAGGCTACTGAGCTTGCTCCGGTTCAGCCATTTTCCTTGCTACCCCCCCCACGGTAGTGGATACGGGCTGCCACTCGCCAGTAATTTTTGTGATTTTTTAAGAGGAGTGTTTCCACCATTTTAGCCCAGGATGTCCTCCATTCCTGACTCTGTTCACCCGAATCGGGCTCCCAAAGTGGTGAGATTTAAGGTGTGAGGTCACACTGCACCCGGACTTGGGAATTTTCTTTTTTTGAGACGGGGGGTTTGTTGTCGCCCCCGGGAGACTGGAGTGGCAAGTGCGGATCCCAGCTACTGGAGCTCGACTCCCGGCTCAGCATTTACTGCCTCGCCTCCGGGTAAGGCTGGGATACAGGCGCCGCAACTCGCTCGGCTAGTTTGTATTTTTTAGTAGAGATGGTTTCACGTGTTAGCCCGGATTGTTCTGATCCTGCCGTTGTGATCTGTCCACCTCGCCTCCCAAGGTGGGATTAAGCTTTGAGCCACCGTGGCCGCGACTTTTGAGACAGAGTCTTGCTCTGTCGCCCAGGCTGGAGTGCAGTGGCGCGATCTCAGCTCACTGCAAGCTCCGCCTCCCGGGTTCAGGTGATTCTCCTGCCTCAGCTTGCTGAGTAGCTGGGATTACAGGCGAGCGCCACCAAGCCCGGCTAATTTTTGTGTTTTTAGTAGAGACGGGGTTTCACCATGTTGGTCAGGCTGGTCTCGAACTCCTGACCTCAGGGCATCCGCCCGCCTTGGCCTCACAGAGTGCTGGGATTAGTGTGAGCCACTGCGCCCGGCACAAGTAGACATTTCCTGAGCTCACTGTTTACATTTTCAGAGTGAATTGGTATCATTTATTTTATATTTTTAAAAAAAATTTATGGGAGAATGTCTTTACGTAATTGCAGTCTGTTTTCAAGAGATCTGAGTGACTGAATCCCTGGTGGCTGTCCTGGAGCAGTAACAGGCTGCCCGGTGCTGTGTCCTGGAGCGGTAACAGACTGTCCGGTGCTTTGTCCTGGAGCGGTAACGGGCTGCCCGGTGCTTTGTCCTGGAGCGGTAACGGGCTGCCCGGTGCTGTGTCCTGGAGCGGTAACGGGCTGCCCGGTGCTGTGTCCTGGAGCGGGTTTAAGGGCTGCCCGGTGCTGTGTCCTGGAGCGGTAACGGGCTGCCCGGTGCTGTGTCCTGGAGCGGTAACGGGCTGCCCGGTGCTGTGTCCTGGAGTGGTAACGGGCTGCCCGGTGCTTGGGGAGGACCACTTGTGCCCTGGGACCCGAATCCGTTCTCACTGAGGCCAGGAGGAGCAGGGAGGGAAGACGTACTGGGCCTGGTGGCCTCATCCTGCCTGTGGTGGTTCAGTGACTGCCAGGGCTACTTTCCAAAAAGGACAATGGAAAAGGACTTCTCCAGTTGCTCTTTTCTACAGTCTCATTTCTGGGTTGTAAAGATTCAAATCAGTCTAAGGGTCGTGTCTCCCTCTGCAATGAACATGAGTGATTAAACCAGAGGCAGCAAGTGCAGATGACGATGGAGGCCAGGCCAGGAGAGGACAGCAGGCCAGGTGGCGTGTGCAGCCCACATGCTTGACCTGCATGGTGGATATGGCCCTCTGGCCCTTTGACGCTGGCAGGGATCTGGGCTAAGCATGACGGAACTTCCCAGTCTTTAAGGAGAAGCTGGAAGGAGAAAACCTACGTGTGCCATCTTGGAGAACATTGTAGGTTTCTCGGGGTAGGCCTGAGGCCAGAGTAGCTGTGGGCTGCCAGTGTGCTGCTGGTTGGTTTAAGGTTTTGTTTGGAAGATGAGTTAACACAAGTGGCTAGCTTCAGTTGTTTTGACTGTCTGTTGTGTACGTGTTTTCTTTCAGGGTGTGGTAACTGCAGCCACAAGTCTGATCACCACTTTAGCACAGAAGAACCCAGAGGAGTTTAAAACCTCCGTGTCTCTGGCTGTCTCCAGGCTAAGCAGGGTAAGTCTGTTTGTGGGGGAGCAGAAGTCAGGGTGGGTTTTGTCTTGGTTATTTAATTATTAGCTTACTTGTAGAATGCAAGGTATTTGGTCAGTTTATAAATTCAGAGGTAAAAACCAACTTGGCTTCTCTGTCAACCTTCTTGTTAATTGAGAACTGTCCCGTCTGTAGAGAAACACAGCTCCCTGTTCCCATTGTGTGAGCAAGCACCCAATACCACGTGGGTGGAGGAAGGGCACCCAGGGGTCCCGTGGTCCCCACTGGGGAAGCGTAGCTGGCGCTTCGTGGACCTACCACCTGGTGTGCACGCTAAAGCCTGCTGTTCAGCTTCCTGTTTTGAGTTTTATGCAGATGGACCTGCAGCACACGTTCTTTTGTTTTGTGTGCAGCTGTTATACATTCACATTTGATGCTTCATGGAATTGGCTGTGTGAATTGACCCCTGCAGTTTACCCGCTGTCCTGTTGAACACTTAGCTCCTTGTCCTCTGAGGCTGCTGTGCATCCTCCAGCATGAGCAGTCTGGGATGTCCCTCGGTTTCCATGTACGTGAGGTGCTGCGTGTGTCTGCTGAGACGTGGCATGGCTCAGCTGGGGGCTGCAGCTCCTGAACCTGAGGAGGAGGGTGTTGCCAGACCAGCTTCCCCTGTGGTGCACCCGGGTCTCGCAGCAGCAGCAGGAGGCGCAGGCTGGCATGTGTGGTGTTAGTCCCTTGGGTTTTAGTCATCTGGGTGTATAGTAGGATCTCTGTGATTTTTTTTTTTTTTTTTTTTTGAGATGGAGTCTCACTTTGATGCCCAGGCTGGAGTGCAGTAGTGCAATCTCGGCTCACTGCCACCTCCGTCCCCTTGATTCAAGGGATTCTCCTGCCTCAGCCTCTGGAGTAGCTGGGACCACAGTCACCCGCCACCACGCCTGGCTCATTTTTGTATTTTTAGTAGAGATGAGGTTTCACCATATTGGCCAGGCTGGTCTCAAACTCCTGACTTCAAGCAATCTGCCTGCCTTGGCCTCCTAAACTGCTGGGATTACAGACATGAGCCACTGCACCTGGCCTCTTTGTGATTTAAATCTACATTTTCCTGATTATCAATGAGGTTGAGCAACTTGGCCTGTTGATTGGCTATTTGGCTGTCTTGTTTTGTGAAGTGTCTAAGTCTGTTACCCATTTTTACCCTGGATTGTCCGTTTTTTGTGTTGAATATTTCGCCGTTAAGCATGATGTCTGCTTTAGAATTCTGTTGTTGTTGATACTCTTCATCACATTAAAGAAGTTCCTTTATCTAGATTGCCAAACAATTTTTATCATTAACTGGTAAAACCACTTGAACTTGGAGTTTTCTTTGTGGGAAACTTTCTTTTTTTTTTGAGATGGGGTCTCGCTTTTGGTGCCCAGGCTGGAGTGCAATGGTACGATCTCGGCTCACGGCAACCTCCGCCTCCCAAGTTCAAGCAATTCTCCTGCCTCAGTCTCCCAAGTAGCTGGGATTACAGGTATGCACCACCATGCCTGGCTAATTTTTTAGCAGAGACGGGGTTTTTCCATGTTGATCAGGCTGGTTTCGAACTCCTGACCTCAGGCGATCTGCACACCTTGGCCTCCCAAAGTGCTGGAATTACAGGTGTGAGCCACTGCACCTGGCCAGGAAACTTCCTTTTTTTGAGACGGAGTCTAACTTTGTCCCCCAGGCTGGAGTGCAGTGGTGCAATATCCGCTCACTGCAAGCTCCACCTCCTGGGTTCACGCCATTCTCCTGCCTAAGCCTGTAGCTGGGACTACAGGCACCTGCCACCACGCCTGGCTAATTGTTTTGTATTTTTAGTAGAGACAGGGTTTCACCGTGTTCGCCAGGATGGTCTCGATCTCCTGACCTAGTGATCTGCCCGCCTTGGCCTCCCAGAGTGCTGGGATTACAGGCGTGAGCCACCGCCCTGGCCCTGGCTGGGAAACTTTCTAATTATGAATTTAATTTATTTTATAAGTTGTGCAACTGTGCATGTGTTCTTTTTCTTTTCTTTTTCTTTTTTGTTTTTGTTTTTTGAGTCAGAGTCTCACTCTGTTGCCCAGGCTGGAGTGCAGTGGCACCATCTCGGATTGCCGCAACCTCCACCTGGGTTCAAGCGGTTCTCCTACCTCAGCCTCCTGAGTAGCTGGGATTATAGGCCCTCGCCACCATGTCCAGTTGATTTTTGTATATTTTTGGTGGAGATAGGGTTTCACCACAGTGTCCAGGCTGGTCGCGAACTCCTGACCTCAAGTGATCCTGCCTGCCTTGGCCTCCCAAAGTGCTGGGGTCACAGGCAGGAGCCGCCACGTCTGGCCTCCTTTCCTCTACTTTCTTTGGGTTAATTTGCTAGTCTCTTTTTATTATTTATTTATTTATTTATTTTTGAGACAGGGTCTTGCTTTGTCGCCCAGGCTGGAGTGCAGTGGCACGATCTCGGCTCACTGCAAGCTCCACCTCCTAGGTTCGCACCATTCTGCCTCAGCCTCCCGAGTAGCTGGGACTATAGTTACCCGCCACCACGCCTGGCTAGTTTTTTGTATTTTTTAGTGGAGACAGAGTTTCACCGTGTTAGCCAGGATGGTCTCGATCTCCTGACCTCGTGATCTCCACCCACCTCGGCCTCCCAAAGTGCTGGGATTACAGGCGTGAGCCACCGCGCCCGGCGTTTTTTGTATTTTTTAGTGGAGACAGAGTTTCACCGTGTTAGCCAGGATGGTCTCGATCTCCTGACCTCGTGATCTGCCCACCTCGGCCTCCCAAAGTGCTGGGATTATAGGTGTGAGCCACCGCACCCAGCCTAGTCTCTTCTTAAACCCTTGCGATGAATTTTTGTTGCTTTTCTCTTTATATTTGTTTCAAATATGTACAGTTAAGGCTATATATTTCTCTCTCAGCCTGCCCTTAGCTACGTACATGTTTGAGAGACAGCTCATGTTGGCCGTGTCTCTGTCTCGGAAGTGCTGTGATTCTTGCCTTTCCTGCTTTGTGTTTGTGCCTTTCAGCCCTGTCTTTGACAGACAGCCTAGAACTTGCCTCCCTGTAGCAGGAGTCTGTGACCCAAGTCTGGGCTGGCATCTTGCAGCTTAGGGCAGGAGTCAGGGTGAACTTTTCTAAATGGGTTCACTTATGGCCTAAAAGTGTCGCACATGTGAGCTTTGTAGGAAGGGAGGAACTACACTGACCTCCCAGAAACAGGAGACACTGGGCTGTATGTCAGTGGAAATGTGAGGTGGTCGTGATTGTCACTTGTTCGGGAGGTTGACAGAGGATCTGCCAAGCCAAAGGCCGCGTTGGACAAAGAGATGGGATGTGAGTGAGGCGGGCAGCCTCCCTGCCTCAGCGAGCTCACCATCTGGGTTGGCCTGTGGTCGGGGGGAACTGTGGGGATGTGGGGTAGGGTCAGAATGCCGGCTTCTGGGGGTGGGGGTGTGCTTCTTCCTTCTGAGGAGCCTAAAGCTCTCTTCGTTTCATTCATGTTCTGGTCCACAAAGGAAAGACTGTAGTTGCAAATCCAGGTGCTGTGGTGTCTTGTACCGCGTGAGGGTTGCCACTCAGCTACGGCAGCGTGTTGCCAAGTGACAGCACAGCCCTCTCACAGCGAACCTGGGGGTACCAAACAGTGTCAGACGCTCCTGGCACATGAGACAAAACCATTTTTCCAGCTCAGGCATGACCCGAGGAGTGAGTATGGCTTTTCTTTGGGTCCCTGCAGCGGGGGCTCGTGCCCAGCAGCGTGTCTGATTGCCTTTGCTGTCTTACAGATCGTGACGTCCGCATCAACAGATCTTCAGGATTACACTTACTATTTTGTCCCGGCTCCCTGGCTGTCTGTCAAACTGCTGAGGCTGCTGCAGTGCTACCCACCCCCAGGTAACGCGCAGGCTGCGGCTCCTGAAGCTGCACTAGCGCCGGTCTGATTCCCTGTCTCAGATTTAAGTGGTTTGTTTATTATTTTAAGAAGTGTGTTACTAGCCCTGCCTCTTGATTCATCGACCTTTCTGCCAGTGCTGCCATATGCGCTGGCTTTTGTGGAGCAATTATTGCAGAGCCTACAGTTTTGTTAGGGTTTGGGTCTATTGTGCTTTTATAGTATCAGATCTGTGCAGGTTTTCTTTGAGACGGAGTCTCCCTTTGTTGCCCAGGTTGGAGTGCAATGACGCGATCTCAGCTCACCGCAACCTCTGCCTCCTGGGTTCAAGCGATTCTCCCGCCTCATCCTCCTGAGTAGCTGGGATTACAGGCACCTGCCATCATACCCAGCTCACTTTTGCATTTTCGTAAAGACGAGATTTCACCATGTTGGCCAGTCTGGTCTTGAACTCCTGACCTCAGGTGACTGGCCTGCCTCGGCCTCCCAAAGTGCTGGGATTACAGAAGTGAGCCATTGTGCCCAGCCTTTCTCAGTTTTGTAAATGCTCCCAGCTGGGTACACAGATGTGAATGAACTATATTAAAAATGCTCTCATGATGTATGGGTACAGCCGGGAGGGGCAGGGCGGGCTGTGGGCCACTGGAGCCTGGTGAGCACCATTCTGTCTTGCCCAGAAGACCCTGCAGTGCGAGGCCGCCTGACTGAGTGCCTGGAGACCATCCTGAACAAAGCCCAAGAACCACCCAAGTCAAAGAAAGTCCAGCACTCCAATGCGAAGAATGCCGTGCTCTTCGAGGCTATCAGCTTAATCATTCACCATGACAGGTGTGTCGGCTGCCTGTGGAGAGGACTTCATCTTGCGCACGCACACATGTTCCTTCTCGTTGGCATGAGACTGGGCTGATCATGTCTAGTTAGTTTGTCCACCCACGGGCCTTCCCTTCGTCCTGCCTGTCTGCTCCCTGCTGGACCCTTTTCTTTCTGTGCAGCTGGCTCATCCTCCTCTGAGCTCACCATGAATTGCTTTGCTGACTGTGGTCTCATCCCCCAAAAGGGCCTTTTCCTCCTTCTCCTGAGCATCCCCACTCCTGACTGGCTTCTCGTGTCATGGAACGGAGAGGAGACGGGGATGGGGTGGGGGGCGTGTGCACATGTCCTGTGACTTTGCTGGGCATAGAGCCATACTTGGTGGGTCCAGGGTCCCAGGGCAGTGCTGGAAACGGCTGTGCCCATCCACACAGCACAAGGCACAGGGTGGGTGGCTGGCCGCTCCACACAGCCCGGAGGGTCTGCCTCCTCTGCCCCCACCACACGGCCCGGAGCGTCTGCCTCCTCTGCCCCCACCACACGGCCCGGAGCGTCTGCCTCCTCTGCCCCCACCACACGGCCCGGAGCGTCTGCCTCCTCTGCTCCCACCACACGGCCCGGAGCGTCTGCCTCCTCTGCTCCCACCACACGGCCCGGAGCGTCTGCCTCCTCTGCTCCCACGCCTTTTCTGCTCAGCAGTTGTGGTGCACTGCATGTGGGCTGGCGTGGGTCTTGCGTGTGGTGCCGTGCTTTAGGGTCCTGTGAGAATGAGATTGCAGCTCCCACCAGGCTCCCGATAATGAGGAAACATGCCAGGCTGTGGGCAGACGCTCTCTACAGCTAGTGAACACCACCCATTTGCTACTACAGCATTTTTACAAATGATGAAAACTCAGTCTGAGAGAGCTGGGAGCTATTAAAAGTGAAATTTCCCATTTTAGAGAAAGCTCTGTTGTTATGTGAGGAGAAGCCACGTTCTGAAAAGACAGTAGAGTGAGTGGGGCAGCAGCCACGCTCCCAGCCTTCTCAGCCTTCTCCCTGCCCCGGGCTGGTGCCTCTGGCTGAGACCCCATTGCTGGTCACAGCTTGACCGGCCTCCTGCGAGCCTCATGCAGATTGAGGCTCAGGAGGTGCTGGGAAGCTCCAGTGGATGCATGGGCTGCTGACTGTCACTGGGGGGATGCACAGAATGGACGCAAAACGGAAGTCAGGGGTAGGGGTCAGGTGCATCCGGGGAGGCTCCCGAGTTCCCACTTGAGCAGTGCGGTGGCGGTGAGTGTGGTGTGACTTTGCTATCTGCCATCTGGACCCATTGGGGAACGCAGGCTCTGTCCAGTTTGTGTCACACTTGCTGAGGAAACCGCCCCCACATTTCCCCTCCCTCCATGCAGTGAGCCGAACCTGCTCGTCCGCGCCTGCAACCAGCTGGGCCAGTTCCTGCAGCACCGCGAGACCAACCTGCGCTACCTGGCCCTGGAGAGCATGTGCACGCTGGCCAGCTCCGAGTTCTCCCACGAGGCTGTCAAGACACACATCGAGACTGTCATCAACGCCCTGAAGGCGAGTGCCCTGTCCTCGGGGTCTGCTCACTCCCTGAGCAGGTGCTGTGGGCCTTCCTGTGAAGGCTGGGGGGACGCAGTGCTTCCTGACTCCCCGCAGAGATGGAGGTGGTGGCTGGTGCTGCTGGCCTCTGCCTGTCACCTACTCTTGGGAGGTCACACCACAGTTGAGGGCCATGCTGCCTGGCGATGGCCAGGACGGCCCTGCTCTGCTGGTTAGGCTGAGCACACGAGTCCCTGGCAGCCCTTTCCCTGCTGGGGGCAGGTCCCCGTGTGCCATCCTACATGTGCATAATGCCAACAAGTAGAAAGATGAAATTTTTTTCCCTCATCTCTGAGAAAATCCTCCTTTTGCAAAGGAAACTCACTTTATTTGGGGGTTAAAATTTCAGAGTTGGAAGACCCAGTTGAGGTTGGCCATTGCCAGCCTTCATGAGACTCCAGAGCAACCCCGAGGGTTCGTTCCATGTAGGACGTGTCTGCCACGTCCTTAGTCACCGGTGTGCATGTGTTAGGAGGTGGGAGGTGGGGAGCTGCACGTCTCCCGGGTCTGGCTCAGCCTCAGGCTGTGGCAGGGCCGCTTCCAGGCCTCCGCACGTCTGTGTGCAGCTCACGGGTGTTCTGGGTGGCGTGCGAGGGGCTCGTGGTGGGCGTTTGGTATTCTGGATTCTTCTTGGTCCTGGTTCCGTGTGTGTTTTAGTCAATCCCTATTGTCAGAAAGGCTGGACACTCATTTGCATACGGCCAGTGCTAGGGCTGGCAGTGCCTACTGTCCTGCCGTTTGCTGGGAGCAGAGCTATGCAGACCTCGGGCTTTCTCATGCTGCAGAGCCTCTTGGGGGCTCATCAGCGGGGGCTCCGGGGTGGGGCGTGAGAACCTGCCTTGGGGCAGCTCCACGGCAGTGTCGGAGGCAGCGGGGTCTTCAGCTGCATGGAAGAAAGGCCTTAATAACCTGCACCAGGCAGTGCGCTTGGTCCTAGTGAAGCTGGCCTGTGCAGAGGGAGGCGCGGGCGAGGAGGGAGGCGCGGGCGAGGAGGGAGGCGCGGGCGAGGAGGCGGAACTCTATTCCGGGCCGTCCACACCAGGCAGTGCGCTCGGTCCTAGCGAAGCTGGCCTGTGCGGAGGGAGGCGCGGGCTAGCGGAGGGAACCCAGGCAGTGCGCTGGAACCTAGCGAAGCTGGCCTGTGCGGAGGGAGGCGCGGGCGAGCGGAGGGAACCCAGGCAGTGCGGTGGGACCTAGCGAAACCGGCCTGTGCGGCGGGAGGGCCGGGTGAGTAGGCGGAACTCTTTTCCCGGCCATCCAGACACATGCGGCCCGAGTGCAGGTCGGATCCTTGGACCTGGATGTCTGTGTGAGGGAAGCTCAGGGTGGGCGTTGAGATGCAGTGCCGGGCCTATCCCCAAGCCTGGGCCTTGCTCCTGCGGCCTCTTACTCTGTGCCTTGTTCCCCAGACCGAGCGGGACGTGAGCGTGCGGCAGCGGGCCGTGGACCTCCTCTATGCCATGTGTGACCGCAGCAATGCCCCACAGATCGTGGCCGAGATGCTGAGCTATCTGGAGACGGCCGACTACTCCATCCGAGAAGAGATTGTGAGTTCTGGTGGCCTCTGAGTCCTCTCCTGCCACAAGCACGAATCTCAGGGGCGGAATTTCCTTCGTGCTCTGTGATTCTGTCCCGCAGGGCTTGATTGAGAACCCATGAGATGCTGGATACAAGGCTCCTCTGCCTCTGCATTTCAATCCACATTTTCAAGCTGGGTGTGGTGGCGCCTGTGGTCCCAGCTACTCCTGAGGCGGAGGCGGGAGGATCACCTGAGGCCAGGAGGTTGAGGCTGCCGTGAGTCGAGATCATGTCACTGCACTCCAGCCTGGGCAACACAGCGAGGCCTTGTCTTTAAAAAAAAAAAACAACTCATTTTTGGTAGAGTCATTTGGTCTTGAAAATAACTATTGACCGGGTGCGGTGGCTCACGCCTGTAATCACAGCACTTTGGGAGCCTGAGGCGGGTGGATCACCTGGTTGGGAGTTCAAGACCAGCCTGACAAACATGGAGAAACCCTGACCCCATCGCTACTGAAAATACAAACTTAGCTGGGCATGGTGGCGCATGCCTGTAATGCCAGCTACTCCGGAGGCTGAGGCAGGGAAATCGCTTGAACCTGGGAGGCAGAGGCGGAGCTTGTGGTGAGCCGAGATCCTGCCACGGCACTCCAGCCTGAGCAACAAGAGTGAAACTCCATCTCAAAAAAAAAGAAAATAACTAAAACACCTGCCCCGTGTGGCTTCTGTGGCCTACCTGTCCTTTCAGTGGTGGCACTGCAGCCCCAGGTCTGAGTGAGGCTGTAGCCATCTACGCTGGGGCTGCACAAATTCAGACTCCTGTGGGCAAAATTCTTTTATTTGTTTAATTATGTTGCATTTTGAGCCCTTGAATTAATCCTTTGTGGCTTGGCTTTTTTTTGTGTCTCTCTCTTGATCTCTGGGAAGGACGAGATCTAGGCCATAGCTTAATTTCCCATGTTGTTTTTATCCACAAAGTAGGCGTGCATACTTACCAAATTGCTGAAGCTCATCAAACCTGTATGTGTGAAAGACTGAGCATCAGCAGGGCGCAGTGGCTCACGCCTGTAACCCCAGCACTTTGGGAAGCTGAGGCAGGTGGATCACGGGGTCAGGAGATCGAGACCATCCTGGCTAACACGGTGAAACCCCATCTCTACGAAAAATACAAAAAATTAGCCGGGCGTGGTGGTGGGCACCTGTAGTCCCAGCTTCTGGGGAGGCTGAGGCAGGAGAATGGTGTGAACTCGGGAGGGGCGGATCTTGCAGTGAGCCGAGATCGCGCCATTGCACAGAACAAGACTCCATCTCAAAAAAAAAAAAAAGAAAGGATGAAAGACTGAGCATGACCCAAAACTTGAGGGAAGGAACCCTTGTGGAGGCCACATGGTCAGCAGAGGAGAGGGCCTGAGGCCTCCACCATGCTCACAGGCCTCTCAGGCTCACTGTCTGTGGATGGTGGGGTTTAAGGGGCAGGCCCGGGTGTCCTCATGTAGGGTTGGCCACTGTCACCAGCCAGGACCACAGCCTCTTGTTGAGGCTGAGACAGTGCCTCCATTGTATAGAAAACGCTTTGTCATTTGTCTTTTTGGGCAAAGTACAGCTCGAGGCCTCCTTGGGCGCTTTGCCGAGAGCCGTGGTCGGAGCTGGCGGCAAGTGACAGGTCGCTTTGGGCGGGTGGGCGTGGCTATGCCCAGGTGAGAGACGCAGGTTTTCAGGGGTCTTTAGTGAACGGAGGGGCCCAGGTACTGGGACTTCAATGCTGAGGGGTGAAATTATCACAGACTGAGCTGCAGTGAGGCACTGCAGACCTGCAGAGGGCGGGGGCCAGGAGGTGACAGGGCAGTGGGCCTGGGAAGTTGAGGGACCCAGGAACAGGGGTGGGCCGACTCCTGGCAGGAGGCCCCAAGGGCAGGCACCGCGGGGAGCGTTTGGTGTAGGGCAGGGCTGTCTGTAGAGTGGCCAGGCAGGTGCTTGTTGACTGCAGCCAGTGGACCCTCTCTGGCCTGGCTGGGGCAGCGTGGCCTGGTCTCAACACTTGTGGTGGGGTGGGGCTGGCTCTGGGGACGGCCGTCACAGGAGCCTCATTCCTGGTCGTCATTCTGGGTGATTTGAACAGAGACAAAAGCAGTGTGCTTCTGAGTACAGTCGTGCAGATTTTGAGGTCCTGGGCATTCTTCAGCTCGGTGTCTGCTCTCGCTTCTCTACGTGATGAGCGGCAATCCTCAGCTGGCTCCTGCTGTGAGGAGTAAGACAGGTGCTGTGTCTCAGGCCGCATGGTGCTCCCCCAACTCCGTCCTTTCAGCCGGGCATGGTGTTCCCCCCACCCCATCCTTTCAGCTGGGCATGGTGCTCCCCCCACCCCGTCCTTTCAGCCGAGCATGGCAGAGCATGTTCTCTGGCTGTGCTAGGTGCTAAGTGTCCAAACTGGACGTGGCCCACTCCCTGCCTACTCAGCACCTTCCCGTCCACAGAGGGGGACGGATTGAGAGCAGGACTGTGGGTGCTGCACTGTGGGTGGGATGGCCAGAGGAAGTGCCTATGTTCCGGGGGCCTCAGGAGGCATTACACTCCTGGGGGGCCATGTGGACTGCAGAAGGCGGTAGTGACCTGGTCTGGAGAGGATGATGGTGCAGAGGCCCCTGGGAGGGCAGAGCAGCCGTTTGTGGAGGGGTGGGAGGTGACTTAGCACAAGGTGGGGAGAAGGGCATGTGAGGCAGAGGTGGGGACCCTACCAGTGAGGCCTGAGGGCCCCTGGTGCACAGCCCCGGGCTGAGGATAGGGCTCAGAGGCAGTAGTACGTTTTGGAATGATGCCTTGGAAGTGTCATGGAGTCAGGTTGGGATTTGGGAATCCAGGCTCCAGGCAGCGACTCTCGGGGGGGGGCCCAGTCACCAGTGCTTGAGAGGCCAGCAGCAAGGTGTGGAGAGGGGCAGCGGTGTGGGGAGGGGTGGCAGGGTATTGGGGGTGCCCTCGGGAGGCCCGTGGTCTTGATGCCTGCTGGCGTTGGTGTTGGCAGCTGGTGCTGTTGGAGGGGGGCTTGGTTCCAGGTGAGGTGACTTTGGGGAGATGAGTTTGGTGTTGGACAGCCTGGCAGAGCTCCATGTGAGTGGCTGCCACGTGGGTGTGGGCTGGGCAGGTGCCTCCAGGGGGCACCCGTGAGAGTGAGCCAGAGAGGGGAAGAAGGGGAACCCCCAGGTGAGGCTCGCAGGAAAGATTGGCCAGAGCTGGAGGAAACCACCAGAGAAGTGGCCACCAGGAGCCCAGGGTGGCATGATCAGAGGAGTGCTGCCACCAGGTGTCGGGGCTTTGGGAGACAAGGGCCCAGGTGGCAGGTGGCCTGGCTGTGGCCGTGGCCTTCTGTGCGCTGGTCTCCGCCTCTTCCTGGCTTTCCTTGTTTAAGTCAGGGAATCTTAAACTTTCGGGCTCATGGCCCTTTTTGAGAATCTAGTTCAAGCTTTCTGCATGTCCCAAACTTTTGTAGACACATTTAGGTGCTTCTGAAACCCTCACTTTGACTTTGGATGACAGTTTGGTTTTGGGATTGCCATGGCCTGCAGGTGCCGGCCCTCAGCAGCCCGTCCCCTGCAGGTGCTGAAGGTCGCCATCCTGGCAGAGAAGTATGCGGTGGACTACACCTGGTACGTGGATACCATCTTGAACTTGATCCGAATTGCTGGTGATTACGTGAGTGAAGAGGTGTGGTACCGAGTCATTCAGATCGTCATCAACCGGGACGACGTGCAGGGCTACGCAGCCAAGACTGTGTTCGAGGTATGGCCCGCAGGATGGCAGGAAGGATGGGGTGGAGGTCAGTCGCGGAAGGTGAGCATTGAGTGGTTCCAGCCTGGCTGGGTGGAGGTGCCGAGGGCTGTCGCTGACCCCTCCTGCCCCTCAGCTCTTCCCTGAGGCTCTAGTTCCTCCGCTGTTGGCGCCCCACGAGAGTCCCAGTTTCTTCTCACCCTAACTCTCAAACTTTTGGCTCTCTGGGGGCCCTCTGAGAAAGCCAGCCCCTGTGTGTGTGAGAGCATGCTGGGGCCTGCCGTGGCAGGGCCTGCCCTGTCCATCGGAGAGGATTAGGCCACCGGGAAGGGGTGTGCCATGAGGACGCTGGCAGAACCTCCCTGGCCGGAGCCTGTTCTGGACACTGCAGCTCCCTCCAGGGCAGGTCAGCGTGTGACAGCCTCGGGTTCCTTGCTGCTGACACAGGTGCTGAGGGTGCTGAGGAAGGCAGGGATGGGCACTTGGACTGGGGTCTCCAGGAAGCTGAGGGGCTGGTGCTGGTGTAGGGTGCACCGTGCCAGGATGTGCCTGCCTCGCCTTAGCTCTGGACGCTTGGCTGCCACCCCGGCTCATTGTGTTTGTGCTTCACAGGCTCTTCAGGCTCCCGCGTGCCACGAGAACCTGGTCAAAGTGGGCGGCTACATCCTGGGGGAGTTTGGAAACCTGATAGCCGGAGACCCGAGATCCAGGTGAGAGGCCCTGTGCGAGTCGGGGCCAAGAGGCGAGGTGCCAGCTGGCTTTGTTGGGAGGCCTCGCAGAGCCTCGTCTGCTCCCAATCGGCGTCTTTTTGTTTTCCTTCAGTTGATAAAAAAAGCAGGGATTCTAGGAGAAAATAGAGACATGGGATTTATGGCTGACTTTGTGAAAGGGGTGCCTTGCAGTGGGATCTGGAGCTGGAAGAGGGTCCTGACCAGCGGCCTCTGGTGCAGGCAAGGGGCTCTTGCTGCTGTCCCTCCCCTGCGGGGACGTGCTGGAGCCTGCGAGGGGACGATGGCGTTCCCGTGTTGTGCTCTCCCCACCCCTCTAGCCCGCTGATCCAGTTCAACCTGCTGCACTCCAAGTTCCACCTATGCAGCGTCCCCACCCGCGCGCTGCTCCTGTCCACCTACATCAAGTTCGTGAACCTCTTTCCTGAGGTGAAGCCGACCATCCAGGACGTGCTGCGCAGCGACAGCCAGCTGAGGAATGCAGACGTGGAGCTGCAGCAACGCGCCGTGGAGTACCTGCGGCTCAGCACTGTGGCCAGCACCGACATCCTGGTAGGAGACCCCATCCTTCGGGCTGGCTTGACTGAGGGTCGGAGGTCAGGGACTCTGACCAAGCCCACCCTGTGTTCTTTCCAAGGCGACCGTGCTGGAGGAGATGCCCCCGTTCCCGGAGCGGGAGTCCTCCATCTTGGCAAAGCTCAAGAAGAAGAAGGGCCCCAGCACAGTGACAGACCTGGAGGACACCAAGCGGGAGAGGAGTGTGGATGTGAATGGGGGCCCCGAGCCTGCCCCGGCCAGCACCAGTGCCATGGTGGGTTCCTCACCTGCTGTGTACCCAGACCTGTGAGGGCCTCACCCCCAAGACTTGGGACCAGCAGAGCATTTGCCTGTCAGGGAGGAGCATGTACTGAGAACCCAGGTGCCGACTGTGGCTCTGGACACCCCACTGGCCTGTCCCGGGGGCCACTGTCCCTGCTGAACTCCCTGCTGGCCTGTCCCGGGGGCCACTGTCCTTGCTGGGCGAGGTGCTTCCTTCAGACCATTGTCTTGTCCAGCTCAGCTCCCACATCTGCTGTGGTGACTTGTTTTAGGGGAAGTGGCCGTCCCCTCTCCTGTAGGACTGCCTCACCCAGGCAACTGTCCACACATGCTTTGTTGATTTAGAGAGGACCTCTCATGCCCTGCTCTTCGAGGTTTTCTCTGGTGAGTTGGGTTAGGTCTGGTTTTCCTTGTATGTGTGATGTGGTGAGAATAGTCCCATGGCTGAGAGTGTCCTGTGGTATTTGTCGGGAGAGAAGTGTTGTTGGGATAGTTGCGCTTTTGCTTGGCTCTGCTTGCCGGCTGTCCCCCCTCTGCACTGTCAGGGAGGGCTCCTGTCGGGGTCACACGGGCTTTCTGTTTGTCCAATTAGAGGAGCTCTGGAGAGAGAATCTTCTGTCCAGGACGCAGGTCCAGTGGTGGCAACCAGTGTTGCTACCTGGTATCAGCAGGGCTTTGTGGGGTGAGCACCTGTGGTGGTGCCTGCCCTGGCAGTTTGCTGGTTGGGAGGGTGCTCGTGTCGGAGTCCTGGCACTCCTTGGCAGGGACCTGCTTATGTGCCCTGCTGACCATGTGTCCTGCCTCTCTGGCTGACAGTGCAGGGCCTGTCATGGGGCCAGTATCCAGGCTCAGCCTGACATCGTGCCCAGTGGCTTCTCCTGCTCTTCCTCTTCCTCCCCCTCCTCGTCTTCCTCCTCCTTCTTCTCTTTCCTCTCATCAGCTCCTCTTTCTTTTCCTCCCTTCCTCCTCCCTCCACCTCCTCACTCCTCCTCTTACTCTTTCGTCTCTCCTCTTTCTCCTCCTCTCTTCCTCCTCCTCCTTCTCCCTCCTTTTCCCTCCCTCCAACCCTCCTCGCCTCCGTTCCACCTCATTATCCTCCCTCACCTTTCTCTCTCCTCCTCATTCTCCCTCTTCTCCATTTTCTTTTTTCTTTTACTTTCCTCCTCTGCACTTCCTCCTTTCTTCCTTTCCCCTTTCCTCTCTCTCCTCCCACTTCCTCTCTCCCCTCTCCTTCCCCTTCCTCTTGCATCCTGCTCCCCTCTCCCCTTCCCCTCCTCCCCGTCGTCCTCCTCCCTCTCCCTCTCTCCTCGCTTTTCTCTCCCTCTCCCCTCTCCTCCCCCTCCCTCCTCCCTCTCTCCTCCCCTCCTCTCCTCTTTTTCTACTTCTTCTCTTTCCCTTCCTCCTCCTCTCCTTCTCCTCCTCCCCTCCTCCTCTCCTCCTCTCCCCACTCTCTTCCCTCTCCCCTCCTCTTCCTCCTCCTCACCACCGTCTTCTCCTCTTTTCCTCCTCCCCTCCCCCTCCCCTCCCCTCCTGCGCCTGAAGGTGACCTCGTGCAATCTGACATCTTCCCTTCCTTCTTCCTCCCCCCACCCCGCCTGCCTCCATGTCCTCCATGCAGCCCTGTCCCCCTTGGCCTCTCTCTGCATTGTTGGTGGCATGCTGCTGTGCCTGCCCTCTGGAGGCTTGAATTGCCTGTGAGCTGATCATGGAGTGAATGAGGTAAATGAAAGATGTAGCTGTTTCCCCCCAGGTGGGCATCTTCCCTTCACGCTTAAACACCTTCATGCTTGTGTTTCTCACGTGCTCTGTGGAGCTGGTGACCTGCTTTTGATCCTGTCTCCTCCCGTGGGACGTCAGTAGCCAGGTGCCTGGTGCTGCAGGCCTCTGTCATTCCTCTAATCCATCTCTCCCTGTCCTTCGAGCGTCTTGACATGGGTTTCTGGAGACAGAAACTTGCTTGTGGAGATTTGTCTGTGAGCTGCCGGAGCAGGGGCCTCCCCATGGGCGCTGGGCCGGCAGTAGCTCTGCCCTGCAGAGAGGAGGACCCAGCCCCAGTTGGGTGAGGAGGCGAGGGCAGGAAGATGTGACCCAGGGGAGGCTGGTGTGCAGGGATTCCTGGCCGCCGGCTTTCAGCAAGGGCACTGTGAAGCCTTCCATGGAAACCTGGAATTGCCTGTTTGAAGCTGGGAAGGCACCAGGTGCTCTCGCTCCCCTCCAGCTGCTTTGACGTTAAGAGGAACTCGCTGAGGGAGCACGGAGAGGGGCTGTAGGATTGTCGTCAGGCTCTATTTGGTTTTTCTTTGATGTTTCTTTTTCATGTGGGTCCTGAGAAATGAGGTGTGCCCATACCCCAGGCCTTTGATCACACCCAGATTTGTCCAGTTAGGCTCAGGGTGGACTTTGGAGGGCCTGGCCTTGACCGTGGCTTTGGGATCAGATGGAAACTCCTGGACCCTGGGAGTGAGAGCAGTGTGCTGCCGTCTAAAAAGGGGGGATGAGGGTCCAGTGAGGTTCAGCATTTCTGTAAGGTCCCTCCTTGGAGGGGTCCCCCTTCCGGGCTCATTCAGTGGATTTTCGGAGTTCGGCTTCACTCCTGATGGTCAGTGGCGCCTGGCGGGTGGGTTCCTTAGGGAGGTGTCTGTGGCTGAGGCACGCAGCTCCATTCTGACTGAGAGCTGTGGTGTGTAGGCCCCTCCGTTCTGACCGAGAGCTGTGGTGTGTGGGCTTCCTTGCTATCCTGTGCTTTCCAGTCTGTCCCCACTGCTCACAGGAGCTCCAGTGAGGCCCTCCCTATGAGGAGACCCCCAGCCCCCCACTGCTCAGCAGGAGCTCTCAGTGAGGCCCTCCCTATGGGGAGACACTCCCAGCCCCCACTGCTCACAGGAGCTCCAGTGAGGCCCTCCCTATGGGGAGACACTCCCAGCGAAGTTCTCTTGCTCAGGGTCTTCTGCGTGGGCCGTGAAGGGGCCTCAGGGTGGCATCAGCACATGTGCCTTTCCCACAAAAGGCCGTGGCTTTATCTTGGTGTCACGTTGGCCAAAATGTCTTTTATTTACGATCATAGATGAGGCCAGAACATTTTACTTCTTCCGAGCATCCTCTCTGCACACAGCTCCTTGGGGGAGGCTGTGGTGTGTGTGTCCTCGGGTGTGCCGGGGAGCACGGGGTGTGGGAATCAGAGGCTGCCTGGTCTCACATGCAGGAGCCTGGGGCCGTTGTAGGCAAAACCTTCACCCCTCAAGTTGTCCTGCTATTGGAGGGAGGAGGCGAACTGGTGTGGCCCAGGAGCCAGGCCTGCTCCCCGAGGAGGGTCTCCCAGGCCTGAGAGGATGAGGAGGGGATGAGGAACCCAAAGTGGGCTTCAGGTCTCTATTGTCCTGGAGCCTCGCTATTACCATCTGTGGTAACGTTTCAGGTACAAATTCATTTACTGGGGCAAAGGGCTTTCCTACTTTAGAAAGCAGTTAAAAGCCATAGATGGCCGGGCACGGTGGTTCACACCTGTAATCCCAGCACTTTGGGGGGCCAAGGTGGGCGGATCACTTGAGGTCAGGAGTTCAAGACCAGCCTGGCCAACATGGTGAAACCCCGTCTCTTCTAAAAATACAAAAACCAGCTGGGCATGGTGGTGTGTGCCTGTAATCCCAGCTACTCGGGACGCCGAGGCAGGAGAATTGCTTGAATCCAGGAGACAGAGGTTGCAGTGAGCTGAGATCGTACCACTGCACTCCAGCCTGGGCAACAGAGCAAGACTCGGTCTCAAAAAAAAAAAAACAAAACCAAAAGCCATAGATGTATTTGAATCAGTGCAGGAACCAGGGGTAACATCTGTGACTAGATGCAGAGGAGGAATTGTCTCCATTTGGGCTGCAGGTGCATTGCCAAGGCCGATGGCTTCCCACATAGCTCACAGCTTTGTCAGGCTGTGGAGACCACAGTGTTGGCGGGAGCTGTCCCAGGCGTGGGGAGCGAAGTGCCACCCTCAGATGGTTTCATCGAGACACGCCTTGGATATTTTTGGGACTCTTCTCTGCCAGCTCCTCTGTGACCTCCCACCCTTGGAGCACGTGAGACCCGTGTCATCTTCTCTTGCAGAGGTGTTCAGTCACAAGAGCAGAGCCTGGGAGTCTGCCCCGTTTCTGACTGTCCCCCATCCCCATTCTGACTCTCCGCCCCTATTCTGACTCCTCCCACCCCCATTCTGACTCCCCCGGCCCCATTCAGACTCCCCCGCCCCCATGCCCCCACTGCTCACAGGAGCTCCAGTGAGGCCCTCCCTATGGGGAGACACTCCCGGAGGCTTGAATTGCCTGTGAGCTGATCCTGGAGTGTATGAGGTAAATGAAAGATGTAGCTGTTTCCCCCCAGGTGGGCATCTTCCCTTCACGCT